GGTGACTCATACCTGTAATCCCAGGACTGTTGGAGGTCAAGGTGGGTGGATCATTTGAGGTCACGAGTTTGAGACCAGCCTAACCAACATGATGAAACCCTGTCTCTACCAAAAATACAAAAAAAAAAAAAAGTAGCTGGGCATGGTGGCACATGCCTGTAGTCCCAGCTACTTGGGAGGCTGAGGCAGAAGAACTGCTTGAACCCGGGAGGTGGAGGTTGCAGTGAGCTGAGATTGCGCCAGTGCCCTCCAGCCTGGGTGACAGAGCGAGCCCCCCCCACAAAAAACAAACAAACAAACAAAAACCAACTAGGTCCTCTATTCTACAGTCACTTACAGGGTCATATGGTCATAGAAAGTCAAAGATGGCTTAGCATTAACTAGCCATGGGGATGCATCACCTACACACAGAATATGGGGGTGGTTCTCTTTGGTTTGCTATCTTTGGCTATGACAAATTCACACAGCTCACATCCTATTCCTTTCCCCTAAAAAAACAAAAATATTCTCTCATTCTTCTCTCTACTATTATCTACAACTACCATAGACACATTCACCCACATAGTTTTGCCTAATAAAATTGCACCCATCAGCAGATGGGCCTTAAAGCCACAAAGAGCAACCACCATCCATTGTCTACCAGAGTGAGAATAACAACATCTCAAATAAATCATTATCTTCTCTAGCTCTACCTCTAGGGAAGGAGAACAAGTGCCACAGATGGCTGGATTTTTTCCCCCCTTTCAATGTAATTATAATTAGAAAAATGACTAAAATGCACTAGGGGATTGAAATTTTTAAAGTTTCAAGAAGTGAAGGTTTTTAAAGTAATTTTATATTAACACCATTATGAGCTCTTACAATACTTCTCAGGAAACCAAAAAAGTCTCCTATAAATTGTCTCATCACGATACCTTGTGCTATGAAGTCATGGTTCAGTATGATGTTTATTTTTTAAGTAGGAAAAATGAGACACAGAACGATTAAGTAAACTGTTCAATTTACATATAACACTAATTGCAAAAGCAGGATGAGAATAAGAACCACTTAACTTTGGGGCCAGAGCTTTTTTCGGAGAAAATAGAGGGAGGAGGGAAATCAAAGATTATTTTATTGTTGCCATTACCTTTTTTTTTTTTTTTTTTTGAGACGGAGTCTCACACTGTCGCTGAGGCTGGAGTGCAGTGGCCGGATCTCCGCCTACCAGGTTTACGCCATTCTCCTGCCTCAGCCTCCCGAGTAGCTGGGACTACAGGCGCCCGCCACCTCGCCCGGCTAATTTTTTTTTTTGTATTTTTTTAGTAGAGACGGGGTTTCACCGTGTTAGCCAGGATGGTCTCGATCTCCTGACCTCGTGATCCGCCCATCTCGGCCTCCCAAAGTGCTGGGATTACAGCGCCCGGCCACCTTTAGTTTTTTTTAATGCATTTAGTACTCAGTTACCTGACCAACTCAATCCAAAGCATTACATAAGCCAGACCATAATCATGAAGACAGGATTATATGCCCATTGTCCAGCACAGAGTGGGTATTCAATCAATATTTGTTGGCTGACTTACTAATACTAGCTATTTTTTGTGTGTAAAATTTGAGACACACTAACACACCCGGAGTAACTGGTGCCTCTAAATACTGTTTTTTCCCCATTTTAATCTGTCTACATTATGACACCAGATCAATCTCCCTGAAACTCCTCCTGAAACTCTTCCAGTCAAAACATATTAATGGATAAATAATAAGTTTTCTAGCATTCCAGATCCTCCACCACATGGTCCAGGTGCTAACTAATCTGCATTCAAGCTTCCTCTACCAGCCTATTCGATTCCCCCAACATGACTTATTCATTGTGTGGTGTGAAGGCAGTAGAATCTGTTATCCCGAGTCTGAATCCCAGCTCTAATTAAACCTTGAGCAAATCCAAACCTCTCTAAGTTTCGTTTTCTTCCAGTTAAGACCAGACACTAATGGTACATCTTTATCCAAGTCATTAATATCGAATTCACCTATCTTCAGTGCCAAGTGGGATTCTTCCATAGTCAACAGTGAATGGCACAGCACTGTACAAATAGTATACAATAGTGCTTCCTAAATTTAATGTGACTCCCTAAGTCTGTGTGGGGCTAAGAGTCTGCATTTCCAACAAGTTGCAACAACCAACAACCACACTCTGTGTAGCAAGGGCATAAGTTATTCCCTCTTCCACACTTATTCCAATTTTATGTTTTTCTACCTGAAATGACCTTCCCATTTCTCCCTAAATCCAAGCTTCAAAGTTCAGCTCAAGTTCAGATATCTCTCTGACGGCTTCAACAAATCACTCTAGACTACACCGTCTCCTCTTTTAATTTCTAAAGCATTAGTTGGCTGTACTATTTACTGGGGAAATACTGCTTTGTATCATTATATAATGTGTAGATATAGTTCAACTCTAACTTTCAATGATGTGTCATCTCCTAAAGGAAAGAAACCCTAACTTATACTGCTATTTCCCTCTAAAGAACCCAACACACAGCTATATACATAAAAGTCTATCTCATATATATAACAAATATATATAGTCCATCAAATACATTTTTTAACTAACTCCTTGCATAATGGTATAACCAAAAAAAAAAAAAAGATGAAAAACAACTAGTAACTCTGTTACCTAATTTTTGTTCCAATCACTAATTAAGACTAGGCCAGGTGCCGTGGCTCATGCCTATAATCCCAGCATTTTAGAGAGCCAAGGCAGGAGGATCACTTGAGTCTAGGAGTTCAAGACCACCCTGGGCAACATAGTAAGACTCCACCTCGATTTAAAAATAAATAAAAAAAAAATTCTGGACAAATTATTTAATCTGCATCTGTTTCTCTCTCTCTCTCTCTCTCTCTCTCTTTTTTTTTTTTAGATGGAGTCTCACTCTATCACCCAGACTGGAGTACAGTGGTGCAATCTTGGCTCACTACAACCTCTGCCTCCCAAGTTCAAGCAATTCTCTGCCTCAGCCTCCCAAGCAGTTGGGATTACAGACGCCCAACACCACAGCCAGCTAATTTTTGTGTTTTTAGTAGAGACAGGGTTTCACCATCTTGGCCAGACTGGTCTTGAACTCCTGACCTCGTGATCCACCTGCCTCAGCCTCCCAAAGTTCTGGGATTATAGGCGTGAGCCATCGCGCCCAGCCTTCTCTCTCTTTTTCAAGTAAAATGGTAACACCACCAGCTAACCATCCCTTCTTCTTCAATGGTTTAATTTTTAAAAAACAAACTTGTAACAAGCACCAAAACTTTGCAACACAGTATGTTATACACCTCAGATGGTAAAATGGATAAAAAGTAGTCCTTTCCTTCAAGGCACATACATTCAAGTGAGGACAACAAACAGTCATGTGTCATACATCACTCAACAACTGGGATACGTTCTGAGAAATGTGTCGTTAGGCAAGTCCATCATTGTGCAAACGTCAGAGTGCACTTACCCAAACCTATCTATAACCTCCCACACACCTAGGCTATATGGCATAGCCTATTCCTCCTAGGCTACAAATCTGTAAGGCATGTTACTGTACTGAATATTGTTGGCAACTACAACACAGTGGTGAATATTTGTATTTCTAAACATACCTAACATAGAAAATACACAATTAAAGATTTTTTAAATGGTACACCTGTATGGGACACTTACCATGAATGGAGCCTGCAGGGCTGGAAGCTGCCCTGTGTGAATCAGTGAATGAGGAGTGAATGGATGTGAAGGCCTAGGACACTACTGTAGACTTTATAAACAATGTACAATTGGGCTAAATTTATTTTTTAAATTATTTCTTCAATAATAATTAAACTTACTGTAGCTTTTCTACATTTTAAACTTAAAATTTTTTTAACTTTTGACTCTTGTAGTAACACAGCTAGAAACAAACACATTATATAGCTGTACAAAAATATTTTTTCTTTATATCCTTATTCTATAAGCTTATTTCTATTTTTTAAAAATTTTTTGAACTTATTTGTAAAAACCTAAGACACACACACATTAGCCTAGACCTACGCAGAGTCAGGATCAATACCACCGTCTCTACCTCCACATCTTGTCCCAATGGAAGGTCTTCAAGAAAACAACATCTGAAGACATGGAACCCTCATCTCCTATCACACCATGCCTTCTTCTGGACTGTCTCCCGAAGAATCTGCCTGAGGCTGGTTTACAGTTAACTTTTTTTTTTTTTTATAGGTAGCAGGAGTACACTCTAAAATAACAATTAAAAACATAGCATAGGAAATACTAGGCGACAGGAATTTTTCAGCTCCATTATGCTCTTATGGGCCCAGTGTTGCATACGCTGTCATTGACAGAAATATTGTTATGTGGTGCATGACTGTATATCCAAAGCTATGAATGCAAGGCGGACTATGAGGAATGCTGTATTAGCCATAGTGGAAATGAAGTTCATGAGAGCACAAAGAATGGAGATGTGAATTCCACCTAGGAGAATCAGGAAAAGGTTGTTAATGTGATACTTGAGCAGGTAGTAAAGGCTGCTAAGGAGTTAATGAAAACAGAACTCAGGAAAAGAAATTATTTGGTAACAGTAATAGCCTGATCAGAGTCAGGAAAGTAAAGAATATATCTTTACATAACTGGGAAGAATTATATGGCTAGCTCAGCTTTTCCCTAACTTCAGTCATCTGAGTACCCCTTGCAAGTTTTCACATGCCCATTTTCTGTCTGCTACTATTTACTCAATAGTCATCTTTAAAATCAATTCAAATGTTTTAATTTCAGTAAATTAACATAAAATAGAATTTTATATCAATACAGACATCACTTGGCAGGTGAAACTACAAAAATATGCACAATGTTAGAACGTCAAGTGTTAGCTAGTATGTTTTTATTTAAGGTGGGCCACAGGAGATATTTTCAGGCTAGATTTAGGAGAGGGGTGAAAGTGAAGGAGCAGCTGTTTTTGCATTTTATGCCCAGGCTGGGGCAGGTGCCTTCGTGCCTCACACAGCTTACCACTTATGTGCTCGTCCACCTCATTGGCGTGGCACAGTCACGAAGCTGCAACCGCTCCACCTTCCCGTGGATCCTCCTTCAGCTGCTCTGACTCCTTGCCCAGGTACATGTTTAATTCTATGAGGAAAGGCAGCCACTTCATCAAGGTTGGAGGCAGGGAGAATGACACAGATTCCAGTCACTTCTGATGGGCTCCAGATCATATCTTCCTTTCTTGACCGCCTGCCCTGCAGACTTCAAGCTCCAACATCACACACAAAGACAACAGCCTTACAGAGACTGCTGTACCAGCTCCCGCAACAGTATACAGTCAAATCTCCATAATGAATGATGCATCGATTATACATATATAACCCTACATAAACACATATACACACACATGCACACACACACACATCTCCATCCTAGGGATCCTGCTTCTCCAGTAGAACTATGACCGACACAACATTAAACAAAATATGGCAAAATATCTGCATTTATTAAATCTGGAAGTAAGTACATGTGTGTTTGTGCTATTACTCTGTATTTTTCCATCAGAAATGTCTCATAATTTTAAAAGAAGTTTTAAAAGAAAATGAATAAATACAATAAAACAGAATAATGTTAAGTTCCAACTAGATAATGTTTGAAGCTCCTCTAATTCTTTCATTCTAGCTCATTCCCTTTGTTAAAACAGAAATATATGGAAATGTTTTTCGAAGTGCTAACAGCAAATGAGACTTTCTCCTTAGATAAACAGGACTAAAGAAGGCTTGAGAAGGGCATAACTCTCTCACTTTATTAATAATTAATGGTATTTAATACAATTTCCATATATCTACCATGCAGGGTATTCTGCAGAGAATGCAGAAAGAGAGGATTAGAAATAACTGATGGATTACACAGAATCAAAAATAAAAGTGAAAAGATATCCCTAGAAAGAGGGCAGAAACATGTCTTCCTCTTGGACATGTTCCCTAACAGAAAAAGTATTTAAGATAGGTGAGGATGAAAAAAAATTTTGAAGTAAAAGGAAACGATGTTTAGAAAATTTACACCAACTAACCTCTATTTTATCCATGAAGTTGGGACAAAAAGTATCTAGGTAGAACTAGACAAATGGAGTCAGGAGAAGTCTGGTCTTGAGAAGAGGGATAAACAATCACCTGGCAAGAAGTAAAGGTCAGAACAGAAGAAAGAACTAATACCATGGGCTGTGTGGGTTTGTAAACTTGAAAAAGAGGAAGCATAACATATGCAACACAAGAGAACGGAATAGCAAATTACAGTATGGCCATATATTGAAATACCATGTTATAGCCACTAAAAAATACATAGCTATTCCTTTACGTGCATAACAAGGCATTCACAACATTGCTGAGAGACAAAAATCCACTTAAAATACACATTTCTGCAAAAAAGATGGATATACAGTATTTATATAATAAAGAGTCTGGAAGGCTATACACCAAAATGTGAGCATGCTTTACTTTAGGGTGGTAGAATCACTAGTGATTTGTATTAATTTCTATATTTTCTCTTTATTCTACAATCACCCTATGCCATTTGTTGAGTACTGTATTGTGTCCGATGAAGGCAGATATCAGTTCCTATGAGTGTTTGGTCAAAGAAGTCAGAGAGGAGAGTCCTGAGCTGTGAGCATCTTCGGATTTGAGAGTCTTTTTCTTCTAAGGCAACTTCTACCTGTGGTGATGAACTAAGCCAGTATTCTGAAACCTAGGGTCAACACTGCCACAAGGCCAATTAATTGCCGGGCATTGGGAAACTCTGAGAAATCCTAAACTTGCAAAACAAATTAAACTTTCGTGATCCAGTCATTTCCAAGCGCACAGTAGAGACTGAGGGGTCATTTGCCTAATAACAATTGCCTAATAATGCCATCTTGCAGCAGAGTAGCACAGCATTCAAGCCTAGTGTTCTTTCTGCCATATTCACATTGCCCGTCTTCGTGACTTTAATGACTTTTTTTGTGCTATCTTGGGAAATAATACCTTCACTGTCAAACAGCCATGGATGGCCTTGGAAGGCATTCGGCGGGGGGGTTGGGTGCTGCAGAGGCATCAGGCTAGTTGCTTCCCATGGAATGTCCTAATTCTTGAGACATCCAGGCCCAAAGGAGCTCCTTAACCCTTTTGGAGGCCTCCTGTATCTCTACAACCTCCCTGGATGAAAATCTGTCTGACAGATCAGCGAGTTTATCTGCTTTACACTAGGGGGCAGTGTCTGTCTATGGACAACAACAGTTTTCCTGAGGGTGTGGGGGCCAGTGTGGCCTTGGTGTCTTTGACCAAACTACTGTGTGTGTCTCTTTGCCCCACCCACCTAAACTGGTGAAAGGCATAAGTTCCCAGATCACCATAAACCCTCAGGAGACCCAACCTCCAGGCCACTGTGTGAGGGCTGATAGAAATAAAATTTGACAGTAGGAGCAGCATAAAACTTGCTCAAACTGGCAGAGAGCCCTGGTAAATGGCCACATGTTTTGGAGTCATGAGAGGGTCTTACTAAGACCATAGGTTCTCACCATGGCTGAAACCTCAGTGATGGTGAGAACACCCTGGGGATGACAGCTGGTCTTTACAACTGAACAAGGGCTTCACTAATGCTTACGGTGTGAACTTCATCACTTGCTTATGCCAGGGAGGTTAGAAGAACCAGCTATGATCTCAGTCATATCTCACCAAACCTAAGAATTTCTCGTGGAGGCAGGGACATGGTGCCACGTATAAGCAGACAGGGGAGGTAAGTTGTGATAGCATTCTACATGAAGTTTAACAAAACAGGCTGAATAAAACTCACTCTACCCCACCCTCCTGTGCTTAAAGGACCACAATTCACAGCCATAATTGATCAAAGGAATATTGATTTTAAAAAAAGAATGAACCGTTATTCTCATACAGCAAACTATAGTATTCTCTCCTAGATATGCATATCTTCTTCCCTTTACCATCTTTTCACTTAAAAATATTTAATATGGAAAAGCAAAAACCAAGATTCATGAAACTACTATCACAATCAACAAATGATAACAGATGCAATCTCCTTTGTACCCTCCCCTAAGCCCACCCCTTCCCTTCCTTCCCAAGAGGCAACCAATCTCATTAATTGGGTGTGGATCTTTCTACTCCGTGTTCTTATATTTCTACACTGTTTATATATATTTATGAAACAAATATAGTATTGGTTTGTGTGTTTTTAAAATTTGTATTAAGAATATGTGTCACATGGTATGTACTGTTCTGCTTTTTTTCACTTAACATTGTGTTTTAGAAATTCCTCCATACAGTCGTATACAGATCTAGTTCATTTATTTCAGATGTTGTATTCTATTAGATTTATACCACATCTTATCCAGTCCTGTTTTGAAAGTCAGGTGGTTCTAACTTTTGTTATCATAGACAGTGTTGCAGTAAACATCTTACACATATCTCCCTATGCACATGCTCAAGGGACGATGTAGGATATGTACCTACGAGTTCAATGCTAGGTTTTAATTCTACTAGATGGTGCCAACTTGTTCTCTAAATGGGGTATAGTTTCTATTTCTCATTTCATCACACTCGTACTGTTAGATTGTTTAATGTTTGCTAATATGGTAAGTGTGAAATGGTATTTCATAGCCATTTTAATATGCCTGTCCCAGATGACCACTGAACTTAAAACATCTTTTCGTGTGTTAACCATTACAGTTTCCTCTTCTGCAATCATTCCACTTTCTAAAATGCCGTGAAAAGCTATTTATTGCATGGATTATGTTAACATACTGGTCATTCCAGGATCTAAAAAATAAGGTTATTAAGAGTTTATATAAAAATAATGCATTCTTGAACACCAGAATCTAACATGAGATTCATAGCACAGCATCACAATTTTGCCGGCGAATGCTTGTTATAGATTACATGTTCCTGATAGTAAATGGGGGTTTTAAATTCTGCACAAATTATACTACAATGTATGATTCATGATTTTGAGAAAAATGACAAAGCAGGAGCCTCTGGCTTAGAACAAAGAAGTAAGGTCCATTTTCATTTCACGTCTAAAGAAATCAAGAAACAATGAATTGTATTTCAACTTTCCTCCTCCAGAGAGCCTAGACAACAAGCAAACACATACACAAACACAAAATAGTGATGATGGCAGCAACTCGGAATGACCATCAGAAGAGAAACAGTAATACACTAAATAGAATTATTCCTATTTAAATATCACGGCTAGCTCTGATCCTAGGAACAGCAAGTACATTTTGATGGTAAGAATGTTTCTAACTGTAAAGCTTATTGCTTATTCATAAATCAACCATTTTTATATAGGCAATCTTTTTCCCTTCACTTTTTATTTACGTACATTAATACCACATATCACTATTTTCAGGGCATTTGCATCTTATGCTGAGGAAAAATCTGCAAAATCTGCATCTGTTCTTTAGTTATCTCCTAGTTGAACGCTATTGAGATTTCAAAAGTTGTGTTTGCGAGGAGTATGAAGGCAAGTCTCCTAGCCAAAGGAAACTGGATAGTGAGGTAACTTTTAATGACGTACATGATGGTACCAATAATTCAAGAAAACAGTTAACCAAAAACCCTTTAGAATTGGCATTGCTATGTGGTTTTGTCCTCCTAGTTTGAACATGGATGTGTTTGGAGTAAACGGAAAATCATTTTTAAAAATAATAATAATGGTCCCAGAAGAAGAAAAATGTTAAAAGGCCTGTAAAGTTTCCACCTCTGTCCTTCTGGTTTTGTGCCTCTCAACTGGCGTTAATCATTACCAAATAGCAGATAGGGAGAAGGCTCCCACTGGAGCAGAGGCTCCCTCTCTCTGGTCTTCTTGCTGTGTTGTTGGTCTGCCCCTTGCTTGGGCAATGGTACAAAAACTCCTTTGATTTTAAAAGCAGACAAACCCCCTTTCATTTAAGGTAACTGTGTAAAAAGGGCTTCTTACTCTGCTGGGGGAAGCAAAATCTCACCCCCAAGAATGATGAAATCACCTGTGATACAACTGAGCAATGGGACTCCACAGTACTCCTACCCCACAGACCAGCTGCCCTAACCCAAAACATCTCCAACAACAGACCTGGTAGAGAGGTCTTTAGGGATATCCACTCTCATACCCAGGATAGCCCTGGGTGGCTCTACAACCACCTGGATCGTGTATCTCAATGGGGTAACTGAGTCCTTAAAAACATGTAGCATGTGAAGGATTCACTTTTGCCTAGGCTGGCATCTCCTCCACCGGTATAGGCACAGCTACAGGGCATCTCCCCACCCACAGCTACGAGATAAACAACCAGTCACTCATCCCCAACACTCTGAGACCTGGTCCTTGTACAGCAAATACTGACCATAAATCAGCCAAGGTCTAGTGAATGGTCATGGACATGGATTTGGAACTTTTTGATAGCAAACTCTAACTGGGTCAACCATAAATAAGTCAGAGAAACTTAACATGTCCTAAACCCAGAACACTGGCCTTTTTAGAACCTCACTCCACTGAAGACAAACTTACTCCAAGTTAGTGGATACTTGGCTAGGCAAATAAGAAAATGATAACAGGAAGTGAAGGGTAGGGATAGAGAATTGGGGAACTGGGATTGTTCAAGAAAGGAAGTAGGTTCCTGGAATTCATGGCCGGAACAGAAAATGGGTTTTCTCAAAGAAAGTTATAAATAAAGATCAGGCATCATGGTTGCAATTCTACTTTCTCTGTATTAAATACTCTTATCTAGCTTGAACGTTTTTTCTCCCTGGGGAAAGCTTGTTTAAAGCTAGAACAACGAGCTTAAAAGAACTTCAGAATATTGCATATTCGTCAGCTGGGAACTGTTCTGCTAGACAAAGAACTGACTCCATCATTTGAACCGTTCGTTTCTGGCTGATGATGAAATCAACTGAACTTCCAAACACTTTAATCAAGAAGTCAACCCCTTCCTTCCCCCATCTTCCTGTTGAACCACTGCCATATGCAAGCTTTAAGCAACTTGTGGACTGGTGGCTATCTCCATGACCACTCTGCACTTCCTGCAGAATAACTATCATCACATGTTAACTAAATTACTTAACTGTCTGCCTGCCCCACCCGCAGCCACTGGAATGCAAGCTCCGGAAGGCAGTGAATGATTTGTCCACCATGGCATCCCTATGTTCAGCACATCCTAGCCCGTATTAAACGTGTTGACTGAAGGAAAGAGTAAAATGGCTGGCTCACAGCAAATACTAAGAAAGGATTTGTGAATGAAATGCCTTTGGCATATTGAGAGAAGCGGACTAATGTCAAATGAGCCATTTAAGTTGGTGAAGGACTAACCTTTGCCTGGCGCAGTTAATCTGTAGTGACCTTTCGCATATGGAATCGATATTTTCAGGCTGGGGTGTACAAGCAGGTTCTCAGAATTCTTTATAATGAAGAAGTGATTCCATTTGATAACCACACATGGTAGATGGCACTATTCGGCTTACAGGAGTCTCAGCCCAAGGCTGGCGCAGGGCCGAACGAGCCAGCAGAACTTAAATCAGAGGGAAATAAATTCTAGGCTTTGAAAGCCCCTGAAAGAGTAAGTCCCCTCAAGCCCAGGAAAAGAGGAAGAGGATACCCAGCGCAGAGGGAGGCGATCCTAGACACAACCTTTTGTCTGCAGGTTATCAAGACTGTGTCCTAGATTCCAAGGTGACAGTGCCACAGGTAGGGTAACAATTCCCTTCATATTTGCAGCATGTTACAGGCAACAGCGTAGGGCAGGTAACACAATTTTGCATCCCTCTTTAACCAGCATAGCAGCTGAGGAACCTCCCCCAACACGCTCCTTCCAGCACTCAAGGCGGCGGGGTGGAGGGCCCGGCTGAACCCAAGAGACTCTGAGGCCGGCCGGCGACCTTGACGCTGCGGGCCGGGCCCAGGCCACCGCGCGGCGCCTCGCCCCTGCCCCACCCCGACGCTCGCCACACCTCGGTGTTTGCAGAGCCTCGGCTTCGGCCCCGGCGGTCCGGGAGCGGACGCCTAGCCCTGGGCCGGGCGGCCCTGAAGAGGGAAGTGCGGCTGCGGGGCCGCGGGGACTTACCTGCAGCAGCACGGCCAGCAGGAAGCACAAGTACATCTGGTAGATGCCCATCTCCCCCACCGCCTGGAACGCCTCCTCCACCTCCATGGCGGGCCGCGCGCAGGAACCCCGCCACCCCGCCGCCCGCTCAGGCGCGGCCCTCCCGCCCGGCGCGGCAACCCCTGGGCGCCCGGCACCGGCTCTGACCCGCCGGGGCGGGGATGGGAGCGCGGGCGGCGGGGCCGTGGCGGGCCGGGGCGGGGCGCCTGCGCGGGTGGCGGGGCTGTCAGGCTCCAGCGGTGGACGCGGGGCGGGGAGCGGAGCCGGGCGACGCGGCTCGAGGGGCGAGGAGGGCGTTCGAGATCCGGGGCTGGATGCCCTGGACCCGGGCCTCTGGACTTCCTGTTTAAAAAAAAAAAAAAAAAATGGTGTTTTGGTGTGTGTTTTGTTTTGAGAGGGATCGCTGTATTCCCTCTAAAGTGAGGAAAGAGGAAGTGGGCCGGGCTGAGGGCCTGAGAAGAAACGCCCGGACCGCGTCCGCGTGTGACTCAGGGCTCTGCCTACAGGGGACCCCGCAGCTGGCCGGCGGCCTTGCGGCTCTCAGCTATGCCTGTCCTTTTGCCCAAACCAGTTTAATGCAGGGGCTCGGGGAGCCCTAGAGCCTTCAGGGAAAAGTGGTGTCTGTGCAGCATTTCTTTCCAGTCCTACTCTGTGCTAGCCATGGGTTAAGTACACTGGTAGGTAAGCAAATTCTTGTAAAACCGCCGGATACATTTGCTTATAGAAGTACGCACGAGGTACAAAGGAAGTGCAAAAGACGAAGGATTAATCTGTGGGGCAGCAGGTGATGCCTGCCAAGGTACTTAAAGGATAAATGGCAGTTTGTCAGGTGGAAGTTAAAAAAAAAAAAAAAGGGTGGCAGGGCCAAGGGACGCTGGTGTCTCCTCATGGGGGACGCGTTAGTCCCCTCATGCCCACACTCCCTAACCTCATTTTCTTTTTTGTTTATTATGTGTTGTCTTTTTTAACAGCTGCATAGTATTCCATTGTCTAGACCATGACTCCTAGTTTAACATTGAATAGAAATGGCGACCAACTAATGTCCTTGACCTGCCAGCATCCTTCTTATGCTTCCAAAAATTTCCGTTAATTGTGATGTCTGTCGCAGCGTATTGGTAGCTAGGCTTTACTGGTCAACTGCTTTCTTATTTTAGCAATTAAATGAATGCTCACTGTAACTGAATTTATCAGTGGGTTGGAAACTGTAAACTATAAACTCTAAGATTTTTTTCTCAAGGAAACGTTTTCTGTGTAGGTACTACTAATAGTTAAAAAGTTTCCTTCTTTGGCTGTTTCCTACGAATCTTCATTGTTAATAAATGCTGAAGTTTGACAAGTGCTTTTTGCATTTATTGACATGATCCTATTGTTTTTCTTCTTGAATCTGATAATCGGGTACATTATGGTAATAGTTTTTTTGATATTGAACTTTACTGGAATAAATCCTATTAATACTTGCTCATGATATTGCTATTTATTGCCAAATTTAATTTGCTAGTGTTTTGTCTAGGGACTTTACATCTGTGACTAGCGAAGTAGGCCTATAATTTTCTTTTCTTCCTGATGCTCATGTCTGGATTTGGCAGTAAGATTTTATAGCGCTTTCATAACATGAGTGTGAGTGTTTGGTAAAACTCTCTGGCAATCATCTAGACTTAGCTTGTTTTGCAGGGGGAGCCTGTTTATTACAGATGTATAGATACGGGTCAAGATAGATATGTATAACTGATATATTTGTATGGCTTTGCATTGCTTCTTGAACCGCTTTTTTTCTAGAAATTATTCTTTTTTATCTAGTTTAGAAATTGTTTTTGGAATAAACTTGTTCACATTGGTCTGTTGGAGTTTTTAAAAATAAGGGTCTAACTGTGTTTAGGTCCCATTTTTCATTCTGAATAGTGTTCATCTTTATTGTTCCAATCTTACCAGTCTTGCCAGAGGTTTGTCTACTTTATTATTTTTTTAAAGAATTAGTTTTGTGAATTTTTTTATTTCTTTTTTGTTTCATAGATTATATGAATTCTTTCCTTTTTTTTTTTTACATTTGTTACTCTGTAATTCTTTCACTAGCCACATGACTTGAAAGTGTAGCTTCTTTGCTTCTAATGTTTCTTTTTTTAAGAATAATTATATGGGGCTGGGCGCAGTGGCTCACGCCTGTAATCCTACCACTTTGAGAGGCCAAGGCAGGTGGATCACCTGAGGTTAGGAGTTCAAGTCCAGCCTGGCAAACATGGTGAAACTCCATCTCTATTAAAAATACAAAAATTAGCGGGACGTGGTGGCACAGGCCTATAGTCCCAGCTACTCAGGAGACTGAGGCAGGAGAATCGCTTGAACCTGGGAGGCGGAGGTTGCAGTGAGCCAAGATTGTGCCATTGCACTCCAGCCTGGGCAACAGAGTAAGACTCCATCTCAAAAATAAATAAATAAATAAAATAATTATATTTAAGGCTGTACTTACCTTTCTATAGGATTTTGCTCCATCCGACAAGTTTTGTCATGTGGTACTTTTGTCTTTACTTTTAAATATTTCATGACATTGTAATTTCCTCTTTAACCAATGAGCTATTTTTAGTGCATTTTTTGTTTCCAATTAAAGGTTGCTATTTTTTTTTACCATCTTTTTAGTGTTGTTTGTAATTTATATGCTTTGTAGACAGAGATTATATTAAATCTTGGAAATTGTTGTAATTTTCGTGTGATCTAGTATGTGATTTTTCTTTTTTCCTTTCTTTTTTTTTCTTTTTTTTTTTGACAGTGTCTTTCTCTGTTGCCCAGGCTGGAGTGCAGTGACTTGATCACATCTCACTGAAGCCTTAACCTCCCCTGCTCAGATGATCCTTCCACCTCAGCCTCCCAGGTAGACAGAACTATAGGCACACACCACCAAGGCTAATTTTTACTTTTTGTAGAGATGGGTTTTTGCCATATTGCCCAAGTTGATCTCAAACTCCTGACCTCAAGTGATCTACCCACCTCAGCCTCTCAGGGTGCTGGGATTACAGGTGTAACTCACCATGCCCAGCCCTGGCCCTTTTTTTTTTTAAAAAATGTTTCACACGTATTGAAAATAACGTATATTCTCCACTTGTTGTGTGCAAGGTTCTCTATTAATCAAACTTGTTGATCTAATTTTATTCAAGTAGTTATATTATTACTTAATTTTTCTCTGCTGAATATATCAATTTTTAATAAATATATCAAAATTTTCCACAATTAATATCATTTTTGAGTGTATGAAGTTCTCTGTCTCTGCGTGCTCATAAAGGTACTAATTGAATCTTTTTTTATCATGATGAAATAGCTCTTTTTAGAGCTTTTGGCCTTTTTTATTTTGTCTCATATCAATATTGTTGCATCACCTTTTCTATTGTTTGTATTTTCCTTGTAATCTTTTTATTCTTATATCGTCTTTTTACGTTCATCCTTTAAGTTTCTCACTGCTTAAGGCATGTGTCTTAGCCTATTTTGGCTCCTATAACAAAATACCTTAGATTGGGTAATTCATAAACAATAGAAATTTATTGCTCACATTTCTGGAGGCTGGGCAGTCTAAAATCAAGGCACCAGTAGATTTGGTATCTAATGAAGGACTGCTCTCTGCTTCAAAGATGTCACCTTCTTGTCACATCCTTACAGCAGGAGGACAAGAGAGCTCTCCGGAGTCTTTTATGAGGGCACTAATCCCATTCATGAGGATGGAGCCCTCATGATTTAATCACTTCTCAAGGGCCCTACCTCTTAATACTATCACATTTGGTATTAGGTTCCAACAGTAATTTAGGGGGACACTGCTGTCATTTGAATGTTTCCCCGCCAAAATTCAGATGCTCTCAATGCAAGAGTATTAGGAGGTGTGTAGTGACCCTCACCAGTGAGAATTGAAGTGGGAACTGCTCCTAGCAAAGCAACCAGGCAGGGTTGTCCTGTTGGGTTTTAGACTTACTGAGGACCTGTTACCCCTTTCTTCTTTCCTATTTCTCCCTTTTGGAATAGCAGTGTCTATCCTATGCCTGTACACTATTGTGTTTTGGAAGCACATAACTTGTTTGATTTCATAGGTTTACAGCTGGGGAGGAATTTGTCTCAGGATGAACCATACATTGGTTCCCATATCTCTTAACTTTATACTTTATAAAGTTGGTGCTGGAATGAGTTCAGATTTTGGGCGCTATTGACATGAAATATTTTTATGTGACATACATTTGGGTGAGGGGGGCAGGGGCAGAATGCTATCGTTTGAATATGTTCCTCTCCAGAATTCAGATGTTTCCAATGCAACAGTATTGGGAAGTGTGGCCTTTGGGAAGTAAATTACTCATGAGGGTTCTGCCCTCATAAATGGGATTAGGTGCCTGTATAAAATGGCATGACAAGGGAATTTGTCGCGTTTGCCCTTCCACCTTCTGCCATGTGAGGATATAATATTCCTCCTCTTTGGACAGTGCAGCCCCCACCAGACAAAAAACCTGCTAGCACCTTAGTCTTAGGCTTCCCAGCCTCTAGAACTGTGATAAATAAATTTATTTTCTTTGTAAATTACCAAGTCAGTGATATTCGGTCAGAGTAGCACAAACAGACTAAGACAGACACTAACATTCAGACCATAGCAGCATGTTTATGAAAGGAGGACTTCTTTTTTCTATCCAATTTGATAGTGTCTGTCTTTTATTTTATTTTTATTTTTTATTTATTTATTGTTTTGAGACGGAGTCTCACTCTGTCACTAGGCTGAAGTGCAGTGGCACGATCTCGGCTTACTGCAACCTCCGACTCCCTGGTTCAAGCGATTCTCCTGCCTCAGCCTCCTGAGTAGCTGGGATTACAGGCACATGCCACCACGCTCAGCTAATTTTTGTATTTTTAATAAAGATGGGGTTTCACCATGTTGGCCAGGATGGTCTTGATCTCCTGACCTCATGATCCACCTGCCTTCGCCTCCCAAAGCACTGGGATTACAAGTACGAGCAACTGCACCCGGCCATCTCTGTCTTTTA